GAGAGAATCCCTAGCAGGCTCTATGCAGAGTGGAGACCAGCATGGGGCTCAGTCTCACAACCCAGAGATCATGACCTGAGGTGAAATCAAGAGTCAGAAGCTCAACTGACTTGAGCCATCCAGGTGCCCTCTTTGATTTTTTTAAAATGACTACATTTATCACTAATTCCATCAGAAATATTTTAGGGATTACAATCTATGCAAATACTTTCATCTTCCAAATGCATTTACTTCACTTACAATTGAATGCTATATTAAAGGGTTATAGATTTACAAGTTCTAAGTCATTTTACTTTAGGAATTTGAGGATATTACTCCACGCCATCTTCTAGAATCCAGTGCTGCTGCTGAGTCTGGTATCAGCCTTACCCTCTTTGCTTTGCCTAGAAGAGTGGGCATGCTTGATTACCCAACATCCATTCAATCCCCCTTCCTATTTCCTAACAGAACCTTGATTTTGTGTCCATGTCCACATCACACCGAACACCTGAGCAGCAGAGAGGAGGGAAGGAAGAAACCTGGTTTTCTTTTCTTTTTTTTTTTAAAGATTTTATTTATTTATTTGACAGAGAGAGATCACAAGTAGGCAGAGAGAGAGGGGGAAGCAGGCTCCCCGCTGAGCAGAGAGCCCGATGTGGGGCTCGATCCCAGGACCCCGGGATCATGACCTGAGCTGAAAGCAGAGGCTTTAACCCACTGAGCCACCCAGGTGCCCCGAAACTTGGTTTTCTGACGACCTCACTGAACTACTCATTCTGCTGGAGCTAGAGTCCCACCCAAGAATTTCTGGCTCTGCCTTTATCATTTAAGACAACTAAATTTTATTTTTATATCCGTGTAGCTCTTAGGATTTTCTGTTTATCCTTAAGAGCTCTGAAATTTCATCCAGGATATATTTTTTTGTAGGTCTCTCCTGGCCCAAACCCATCATTATGTTCTGTAATCTATTTGTAATTTTTCCTCCTTTTCATTTCCTGGCTGCTGCTTCTGAATCTTTCTACTAGATGGATTTTGGATCTCAGGGCACACTGCTGCATGCCTTCCAAGATTTTCTCTCAATTCCTGGGGTTCTGATGGTATTTTCTAGAGCTGAAGGGGATCTATTCCTTTGAAAATTAAATATGTATGTGTTTTTGTCGTTTTAAGGAATATTAAGAGAAAAAAGGAGGCCATTATGTACTCAGCGTCACTTTATACTTTGTAAATCTCAATGTTATGTTGTTTTGCCAATAACAGTTCATAACTGTTACATCTTTATTTCGTATTGCTATTATTTTTATTGCGGTAAAAGTCACGTAACACAAAATTTACCATTTTAGTCATTTTTAAGTGTACAGTTCAGGAGTACTAAGTATATTCACATTGTTGTACAACCATCACCACCATCCATTTCCAGAAATTTTTCATCATCCAAACTCAAACTCTATACCCATTAAACAATAAATTCTCATTCCCCTCTTCCCAAATGCCTGGTAACCACCATTTTTCCACTTTTTATAAATCGATTCTAACGACCTCATATAAGTGGAATCACGGTGTTTGTTCACTTTGAGTCTGCCTTATTTTACCTGGCTCATCTTCAAGATCTGTCCACGTTGGAGCATGTGTCCGAACGAGCATGCTTTCTTTCCTTTATATGGCTGAATGATTTCCCATTGTATGCACACACCACATTACGTTTAGCCACTCATCTGTCCATTGACACTGGCTTGTTGCCATCTTTCAGCTACTGTAAATATTGCTGCTATTAACATTGTACAAATACTAGTTTAAGTCATCACTTTCTTTTTTTTTTTTTTAAAGATTTTATTTATTGATTTGACAGAGAGAGAACCCAAGTAGCCAGAGAGGCAGGCAGAGAGAGAGAGAGAGAGGGAAGCAGGCTCCCTGCTGAGCAGAGAGCCCGACGCGGGACTCGATCCCAGGACCCTGAGATCATGACCTGAGCCGAAGGCAGTGGCTTAACCCACTGAGCCACCCAGGCGCCCCTAAGTCATCACTTTCAATTCCTTTGGGAATATACCCAGAAGAGGAACTGCTGGATCACATAGTAATCCTATTTTTAATTTTTTGAGGAAAATACTATTTTCCACAGCTGCACCATTTTTCAGTCTTGCCAGCAATGGATTCCAATTTCTCCATGTCCTCACCAGCACTCATCTGCTGCACTGTCCTGTCCTGTTTTGTTTTGACAGCAGACATACTAATGGCTGTGAACTGCTCTTTCAATGCCGTTTTTTGTTGTTGTTGTTTAAGATTTTATTTATTTATTTCACAGACAGAGATCACAAGTAGGCAAAGAGGAAGGCAGAGAGGAGGCGGGGAGCAGGCTCCCAGCTGAGCAGAAAGCCCGATGTGGGGCTCGATCCCAGGACCCCGGGATCATGACCTGAGCCAAAGGCAGAGGCTTTAACCCACTGAGCCACCCAGGCACCCCTCAATGCATTTCCCTAATGGCTAGGGATATGGATTACCTTTTATCAATATGAAACAACTAATTTTGTCCTATTTAATTATTTTTATTTTGAAGTGATCTTTGTCTTATTGTAACTATGAAAGGAAAAACCTGAAACAGTCACTCCTGTCAGGACAGTATGTTGAAAATGGAACCAGGGGGGCATTAAGGACGTGGGGCCTATGCACTTCCACTTCCTCGCAAAACGCATACTTTTAACTGTAGCTCAACGCCAAACCGAAATATTGTGCTTCCTGCAGCCCAGAGAGCAATCTGTGAATTCCACAGAAATTAGACTCTTTCAGCCAAACATAATTTTGCAAAACAATTTAGCTAAGACTTCTTTGAATTCCCTTCCTAGGAATCCTAGGAATTCCTCTGCCCCCAAGGCAGAGCACTATTTGGGTTTTTTCCCAAATACCTGGGTCTCTCCAAATGCAATTCCTAAGACCGCCCCCCAAATAAATTGTTATTTGCCTTGCATCCTTTCTGCAATTTTTGTCTGACATCACACTGTGATCCCAGATATTTTTTTTTCATATTTTTCTGGCATATTTTAGTTACTCTGTTTTCTACCTTCAAGCGCCCTTTTGTTTTAGTTCTGTTTTGTAAACTGCATTGCTGGTTATTTTAAAAAAGGAATCATTCAACCCTCAGGGAGCACCCCACAGTACCAGTCACTGAAGATGCAGTTAGGAAGCGGATTATAGTCAATGCTACAAGACAAACTTTGCAATTCAAAGGAGTCATTTTTACTATTTGTTTGAAGATTTTATTTATTTATTTGAGAGAGAGAGAGAGAGAGAGAGAATGAGAAGGGGGAGGGGTAGCAGGAGAGGAAAACCCAATGCAGGACTCGATCCCAGGAATGTGGGATCACGACCTGAGCTGGAGGCAGACGCTTAACCTACTGAGCCACCCAGGCGCCCTCAGAAGAAGGTCCTCATTAGAGGACCCTCATAATGAGGACCCTCATTAGAGGGTCGTAAAAAGGGAAATGACGGGCTTGCGCTTTTTTTTTTTTTAACCCAATGTGAATGTCAGTTAAAAATACATCTTCTACAGGTTACGACACTCAGACATAATTGTTTAAAAACTCAAAAACGTGTAAAATAGATAAAAATAATAAACAGCCGAGAACAAAAGACCCCAATAATGAACACCGCGCGGCTCGCCGACTAGACGGGTTCCCTCCCGTCAAGGGAGAGAAACCACAAGCTTAGTCCGGCCGAAGGATCCCGAGGAACCAAACCAGGCAGCACAGCCTGAGGCGACAAGCCGCCACAAAACGCCGCAATATTCGCGGAAAGACCCCTGCAACACATCTCACCACGCTCCTCAAGGGGCGGCCGCACCCTGAGGCTGACCGGAAAAGCGAGCTGGACCCTGCCTGTCCCTCTGCTCCTGAGGCTGCAGTTCGGGACGCGAGTATGACTAGCTCCGATAAGGGCACAGGACCTGGCGGTTTCTGCGCATTTAACCCCGAGCCGAACGAACCTTGGCATTCCAAGAATTCTTGCTGCCGCAGTTCACTCACCCACCGAGAACAAGCGGCAGCGAGCGGCTAATTTTGCACATTTTTAAATACGTACTCACTTTTCCCGAAAAGCGCGCTCGACAGGACAGGCGGCGAGAGAGGCGGAAAAGACGCGGCTGCAGCCTTCTGGCGGTTCCCAGCAAGACGGCTTTTTCCAGCCTTAGGGCTGTTGGCCCATCTCGGGCACCATAGGCCGCCGTCCCGCGATGACCTCTGGGAAATAGAGTTCGTAAGGAAAAGCGCGGCCGTTCGGCCGAGGCACCAGTTTCCAAGTCTCGTGCGCAGGCGCAGTTGCGCCCGGCGGCCTGGCGGCGGTGGTGAAAAATGTCCCCAGGCTAGGTATCCTGCTTGTCTCCGGTGCGGTGCGCCGGTTGGCGTCCCGGTCGCGGCGGGCCCAGGTAGAGGGTGCCGGTGAGAGCGGGCCCGGGGTGTGCAGCTCCTGCGGCGGGGCCAGGGCAGAGGGCCGGCCGCCGCGCGAGTCCCAGCCGAGTCCCAGTCGCGGGAGTCCGAGCTGCGGCGGCCTCTGCAGGTGAAGGCGGCCCGGGAAGGGGGCGTTGCCCCGGGAGCTCTCCCGCGGCCCCCCTTCCCCGGAAATCGGAGCTGTCACTGCCTGAGCCGCGGGAGCCAGCCTCGGGCAGCGCTCCTGGAGCAGTGGCCCCAGAACTGAGATTGCTGGGAGCTCTGCCCTGTTGGAGGGTTCGTGCACCCTGGGGCGGTTTTTGGCTGATCGCGTTCGTTGGTCTCCCCCCACCCCCCTCCAGTTTCAACTTTATTTTATGTGTATTAGTTTTTGCTATCCTTGCTGTATTGAGCTTGTGTGGCCCCGTTCTCAGAGTGAATCCTAGAGTGATTTGACTATTCTTTTTTTGTTTAATTTTGTCCTTTTGCTGAGTTACTTCCCTTTTCTCCAAAATTTAAATTCATCTCTAGCCAATGATGCTCTTTCTTCTGAGCCTTGTGGGTTTTTTTTTGGAGCAGGGAGAGGATGGGTAATGTTTTCGTTTATATTAAGGAGATTTGATAACTCTTTCTTCATAAAGGAAGCACCATTTCCAAGGGGAACAGAGGACTAATTTTTGGTTTGCTCTTCCGGAAAAGGACACCAATTTCCTTCAAATGTTAGTGAAGAATGATGATAATTACCGTATTATTTTATTTTGTTGTCATACATTATATCTAATTATATAGTATGTTAGGTACAATGTAATTATAATTGTAATACATCTCAAAATATTTAAGTGCAGATGTGCAGAGTATTTATGTTACTTCTCTTTCATTGAACATCTTTGTGATCCGGGCCTGACTGCCCTTTACTCTGTTAATGTCCATGAGATGGTTCTAATTCCTTAGTCTGATTTACCTTTATTCAGAAACCACTGGCTGAAAGGTAGCAGGCCCAGGACTGGAAGTATGTTTGCCACACACTCTGCGTTTGGGTGGCCATGCTCACAGACCCTCCAACGCAGGGATGCCTGGGCTCTCAGGTTCCCTCTGGCTTCCGTCTGCAGGGTGCTCAGTGTGTGGAGCTAATTTAGGCATGCCTCGTGAGGGTGGGAGTACAGACAGGATGGACAGACAGACTGCTCACAGTTTCTTTTTCCATTTCAGGAGGCTTCTCTAGGAGAGGCAGCAGGGAGGGAGAAATGGCCACAGGGTTGCTCCCAGCCCAAGCTCAGGTGAGTCAAGGCTCCTTTCTTCATCTGCCTTCTTGGTTCAGAGGTCGTGAACACACTGAAGCCATCGTGGTTGAGCCCACGGAGGCACCCAAGGGCCTGGTGGGGTAACTCTTGAAGGAAGCTGTTTGTCTGGTGCTTGGGATCAGTATTCTTGGGAATTCCCAGCTTAGCAGCTAAGTCCCTCTCCAGTCCTGTTCCAAAGCCACACCAGAGCTCTGTGAGGGATCTAGGTTTGTTTTTTTCCCTGTGAAGGGTGGAACCTTGAGGGAGTCCAGTAATTCTCTTTGTAACGTTAGGAATTCAAAGAGAAAATGTATGGTCTTTACCCTTAAGGAACTGAGGACCAATCAACTAGAGTAGTCCCTCATAGGAGTCCAGGTGATTTTCTAGGAAGATCCAAGAAAGAAGACCTCTGAATCAGCAAGCGTGGTCAGGGATATTTCTAGTATAACTGACTCTTGAAGAACACAGGTTTTCAGTGTTGCTGGGTGAACTGGGGAAGCCCAGCGGCTTCGACCCAGCCTGTCCTTGAAGGAGTTGCTGAAGGTTCTTGGTCTTGTCTCAAGAAAGAATTCAAGGACCGGCCCACAACACAGCAGATGAGTGACACAACAGGAAAGTTTATTAAAGCAAAAAATACACTCAAGATAGGAGAGCAGATGACCTTGAGAGAGAGAGGGAGCAAGCACTTTGCACCCTGGGGTTTGAGTTGCTATCTTTTATTGACAGTTGTTAACTAGGGGGTAGGATATTCATTACTTGGGGCAGGGACGTAGGGTTTCAGCTTTCTCTTCCTAACTTGGTCAGGGGTTTCCTGTCCAGCCAGCTGCTATCTTGGGCCTGTGTGGTTTGATCTGGCTTGTGAAGGGCTGCCAGGGCAGCCTCTGACCTTCCCCACAGCTGGTCACAACTTCCTCGTTGCCGGCCTCCGTTCTGCTAGAAGCCAACATTCTGCCTACTCTAACATACAGGCTCGGGCTCTGACCCCACCTGTCCCAAGCAGTCAGAAATCCACATACAACTTTTTTTTCAAAGTTTTTATTTAAATTCTGGTTAGCTAACATATAGTGTAATACCGGTTTCAGGAGTGGAATTCAGTGGTTCATCAGTTACATGCAGTACCCAGTGCTCATCACAGCAGGTGCTCCCCTTAATGCCCCCCCATCTAGCCCCACCCACCTCCCTCCAGCAACCCTGTTTGTTCTTTACAGTCAAGAGTCTCTCATGGTTTGCCTCCCCTCTTTTTCTTCTTTTTCTTGATTCCTTTATGTTCATCTGTTTTGTTTCTTAAATTCCACATGTAAGTGACATCATATGGTGTTTGTCTTTCCCTGACTGACTTATTTGCTTAGCATAATACACTCTAGCTCCAGCCACATGGTGGCAAATGAGAACTCCACATATAACTTTTGACTCCTCCAAAAACTTCACTACTAACCATAGTTAGTGTTGGCTGGAAGCGTTACCAATTCTGTCAGTTAACACATATTTTGTATGGTATATGTATTCTATACTGTGTTCTTATAATAAAGCATGCTAGAGAAAGAAAATGTTATTAGGAAAATTAAAGGGAAGAGAAAAACACATTAACAGTACTGTATTTATTGAAAAAAAGTCTATATATATTTGGACTTGCTCAGTGCAAACTCCTGTTGTTTGAGGGTTGGACTATATTGGGAAATTTGGGGCTTATGAGCAGGACCAGGTTAAAAGAGCTGGTGAAAGGAAAAGGAATCCCAGCTAGGTAGGACTAGTGGTCTTGCGGGACAGATTGAGGGAAATGAAGCATCTGGTCCACAGTGTTTTCTTCCCTTCTTGGCCCTTTTGTGGCACTTAACAGAAATATTGTTAAGAACACAATCTCCTCCCAAACCAGAAAACCTCTCCACAGAAGCAGAAGAGAAAGAAAACACTTTTATCATTGAATAAGTGCTCAGCCCGAATGTCACGTGCATCACAGGCCATCCCCCGAAGAGATTGTCAAGACAGAAGACTCACTTGTATGCTGAGTGGCTACAGCCCAGTTTGGACATGCGTCAGGTGACCCATTAGGCCCGCCCACTCCCAGGAGACTGAGAGGCTGGCACATTCAAAGCGATGGCTTCCAGGCCTCCACGGAAGTGGTCCGGAGTTGTGAGCCTGGCGAGTGACTTCCTGAGCCTTTGAAAAGACTTAGAGTAGCCCCTGTCCCCCTTACCCCCCGCATCCATCAGGGAATTGATGGTTTCAGTTACCAGATGATCCTGCTTCCAGCCTCTCCTTAGAAGGTCAGAAGTAGCCAGACACTGTACCGCAAGCCTGTGTCATTCTCCTCACTTCCCTTCGTGTAGGCACTTTACCCTCCTGGGCACTCCTCACACTCCGGGGCACTTTATCCTCTCACACTCCTGGGTGAGCCACCAAGAGAAACTACACCAGGTGAGCTGTTGCACCAGGGAAACTTCCTTTGCAGCATATAAGATCATGCCAAATACTTCCGAAGCCGTGACTCCCCAAGCCAGGGTGGATGGGTTCCTGTTATTTAGGGTTAAGCTGAATATTTAAAAAGGGGATCCTTGTCACTGTATGTGGAGGTGGGCGTAAGGTTGCACATGCGCCTTAAGGAAACACGTCTGAACACACGTTGTATGTTATGTAAACAAGGCTCGTGTCCTCCTTGGGCGGAGGTTGTAGTATCCTAAGGAGGTGGAGGTAATTGTCAGTCATTCTAGATGTCACTTCACGGTCCCATCTGTGCAAGGTGAGTCAGGGCTCTAGCTCAAACTGCTATGAGTGGTGTGGGCTGGCTGGAGAGCTTGTCAGTGAGACTCTTGTCCAAGTCGCTACTGCTGGAGGGGCGGTTTCACTTTCCATCTTGAGAGATAACTTGGAAAGAAAAGCTCAAGGAGGAATGTAGGATACAGGTCCATGAGCACAAGCAGGTGGGCAGTCAAGGTCAGGTCTTGGGGTCTAGCTGTAACGATATCACAAGCAGAAGGGTAAGTACAGCACATTACGATGTTTTGAGAGGGAGAGACCACAGTCACATAATTTTTGCTACAGCATATTGTCGTAATTGTTCTGTTATGACTTGTTAATCTCTTACTCTGCCTGATTTATAAATTAAACTTTATCATAGGATTGTATTTATAGGAAAAAAACCAGTATATGTAGGGTACAGTATTCTCCAAGTTTTAGACTTGGAGAGGGGGGTTCTTAGAACATAGTCCCTCCTGCAGAAGTGGGGACAACTGTATGTACATTTGGAAAGGACAGAGACTTGCCTAGAGATGCTCGTAGCCCTGCATGGCAACAGGGTGACTGCTCAGCCGCCCCTTTGGGGGTCTGGTCCCACTGAGCAGGAACGGGTTTCCCGTTGCAGGAGTCTGTGACATTCAGGGACGTGGCCGTGTTCTTCAGCCAGGACGAGTGGCTGCGCCTGGACGCCACACAGAGAACCCTGTACCGGGAGGTGATGCTGGAGAACTACGGCACCCTCGTCTCGCTGGGTAAGGACCTTTCCTCATGATAGAGAATCTGTGGGAGGAGCCTCGTGGGGCCCTCCCCAAGGAGGACACTTGGAGAGCTTGGTCACGTTCAGCCGCAGGTGGGCTCTCAGGGTGGCAGTCGCTATCCCCTCCGCTGCCAGGAAAGGCCTTACGTTGGTAGAGTCAGTGATGGGCAGCCTTTGTGCGCTTTTGCCATTCTTTGGCTCCACACTCTATCCCTCTGGGTCTCCTGAGAGGTTCCAATAGAGGCATGCACAGCCAGCGCCCTGACTTTCTTCCTGAGGCCACCTCCTGGCCATCCTCAAAAAGCCTAATTGAAGCCCCTCTCTGAAAAGATGTCTCCTTCCTTCAGCTGTCCCTCTGCCCCGGAGCCCCTGGGGCTGGATCTGTGTGCCGGGGTGGCTGCTCATATCTGCACAGCGGACTCATTCCCTTTTTGCTCACAAACAGGAATCCTGTTTTCCAAACCAAAGGTCATCTTCCAGTTGCAGCAAGGGGAAGACCCCTGGAGGGTGGAAAATGGAGTTTCTCAAGGCCCATGTGTAGGTGAGTGACAATGATTGGGAAGTGGGCAGAGCATTTTCTCACTTCCTGGGTGCTACTGCTCAGGAGACATGGACCAGGGCCTTCCTGAATGGGCCAGGCCGGGCGGGAAAGACTGGGAAGGGCATATCCTCTCTCTCTATCTATCTGAGCCCTGATACAGCAGGTTCAGAGGGAGAGTTGAATTCTCCCAAGAAGGGCCCACTTGTCTCCAGTATCCTTTGTAATGTGAATGCAGAAAAGGTAACACTTATATAACGCGTCAAAGTTTGTGACTCCTGTCTTCTCCTCTTTTTCTGACTGATCTTTTCTCTCTCTCTTTTTTTTTTAATTTTTGTTACTTAAATTCAATTAGGCAACATACAGTACATCATTAGTTTCAGAGGTAGAGGCCAGTGATTCATCAGTCTTTTTTTTTTTTTAATTTTTAAAACTATAATTCTTTTTTTTTTTTAAGAGTTTATTTATTTATTTGAGAGAGAGAGAGCATGAGAGGAGAGAGGTCAGCGGGAGAAGCAGATTCCCTGCTGAGCAGGGAGTCCGATGTGGGACTCAATCCCAGGACTCCAGGATCATGACCTGAGCCAAAGGTAGTGGCTTAACCAACTGAGCCACCCAGGTGCCCCCCCCCCCCAACTTTTTAAAAAGATTTTATTTGACAGACAGAGATCACAAGTAGGCAGAGAGTCAGGCAGAGAGAGTAGAGGAAGCAGGCTCCCTGCTGAGCAGAGAGCCCGATTCGGGGCTCGATCCCAGGACCCTGGGATCATGACCCGAGTCGAAGGCAGAGGCTTTACTGGGTCACTAGGGTGCCCCTCATCGGTCTTACATAACACCCCGTGCTCATCACATCCCATGACCTCCTTAATACCTATCACCCAGTTAGCCTATTCCTTACCCCTCTCCCCTCTAGCAACCCTCAGTTTGTTTCCTATAATTAAGAGTCTCTCATGGTTTTTCTCCCTCTCTGAGGACCTCCCATTCAATTTTTGGACTGATGATTTTAAATTATTGTCCCTTTGGTTTGAACAAACTTCTGTCGATACAGTACATCCCTCATTGTTCCAGCTTGGGTTTTTGTTTGACATTTTAGGTTTGCAAATTATTATATACGGTGCGGCTAAAGAGAAAACACAGATGTATGCATATTTATATACTACACGAGAGTGAGAAGGCAGGGGTAGCAAAATGGTCATAAATAGAATTTATGCAGGAGGTTTGCAGATGTTCAATACAGCATTCTCCTAAATCTTTTGTGTGAAGAAAATATTCAAAATAATACGTTCCAGACCCTGGCTGCTAGGATATATCTCTCAATCTCTAAAACTCCTCTGGGTTGCTGGGTCCTTAAGCTTTCATTTGCTGTTCTGCTTTGTCTTTGGTTTTTGTTGTTCCTGTTATTGTCATTTTGGATTTTTTTCCACCTTTGCTTTTGTTCTGTTTTGTTTTGATTCTAGCACCAGATGGTGGCTCTCTCCTTTGAGCTTTGCTTCTTATCATTTATTGTCATTTATTCCTCTCCATGGCAGGACATAGGTTTTCTGGGTCAGCTCAGTCCCGTGTTTCTATTCATTAGCTTTGTCTTCAGCTTTCCCCCTTTGGTGTGACTAGAATATTCTCTTGAATAATGTTTTCAGAAAGGTTCATGTGTGCTCTTTTTGTGCATGTCTAAAATACTCTTTTACCTCTCCAGTGAGAATTATGGATCTAGAATTCTGGCATCAAATTTTTTTTTTCCCTTCACACTTGACTTTAGTGTCTGAGTATTGAGTGTCCTTGATAAAAAGTCCTCTGTTAGCTTAATTCTTTTTCCTCTGTCTTCTGTGTAGAAATCTGGTCCTTTTTTTTTTTTTAATCTTCTGTCTAGAATATTACAGGATTTTTTTTTTTATCTTCGGAATTTAGAAGATTCATTAGGTTGTATCAAATACCAAAGAGTTTTTGGGTTAATACTGTTTTTGGCATCACAGGGTCCTTTGCATTGTAGAGTCAAGTCTTTTTTTCACTTCAGGGATCTTTTTTCCTACTACATACTAACATATATTCTGTCACATTCTACCAATAATCCAAGGAAGCTAACTGTAAGAATAATGATAAAATAAAACAGAAGTTTGGTCAGAACCTTAGAAAGTGAATGTATGTGGTAAGGGCCAGCATAGTAGCCCTGGGTGAATCTAGAATTTGGCTCCGAGCTTTCTGGTTGATAAAGAAATCATTAGGATCCAAATTGACTGTGTTCTTCTTTTGTAAGCAGTTGAAAAAAAATTAACTACTTTTAATTTATAGAAGGAATACATAATATTGTTAAAAAAAAAAAAAATAAATAAATAAAGAGAGCTGCCTGGGTGGCTCAGTCGGTTAAGCTTAGGTTGTGAACCCAGGGTCCTGGGATCGAGCCTCGCGTCAGGCCCCATGCTTGGCAGGGAGCCTTCTCCCTCTCCTTCAGCCTGCCATTCCCTCTGCTTGTATTCTCTCTCTCTCTCTCTCTCCCCTTGTCAAATAAATAAACAGAATCTTTTTTTTTTTTTTAAAGAGATAGACCTGAAATTTTGCCAACCAACCATGATGAACCTTTGTTGATATTTTACTGTTTATCCTCTCAGATTGTGACTATTTGAGTGTGATTGTATTTGTGCATGAGGGAGAGAAAGACACACGGAGAGAGAGATTGATGTTACATACTGTTCTCAAACCTATTTTTTTTTAAAGATTTTATTCATTTATTTGACACAGAGAGAGATCACAAGTAGGCAGAGAGGCAGGCAGAGAGAGAGGAGGAAGCAGGCTCCCCGCCGAGCAGAGAGCCTGATGCGGGGCTCGATCCCAGGACCCTGAAATCGTGACCTGAGCCAAAGAAGGAGACTTAACCCACTGAGCCACCCAGGCGCCCCTCTCAAACCTATTTTAAATTGTGAATGTACTTCAGCTCTTTAGCCCTCGTTAAATAGAGGCCTACCTTTCTGAAAGAGCTCTATTGTATTATTAAGCCATATTTTATTAAATAATCTTCCAGAAATTTTAATTTCTAGTTTTTTCCTACTATTAAGATTGCTGTAGTGGCTCTGGAGTACAAAGGCATAATATAAAGAGAAACAGAAAAGGTCCAGAGAAGAAATAATTATAGTACAAAGGCATGAGTATTACCATTAAAAAAATCAAGGAGGTCACCTGGATGGCTCAGTGGGTTAAAGCCTCTGCCTTCGGCTCAGGTCATGGTCCCAGGGTCCTGGGATCGAGCCCTACATTGGGCTCTCTGCTCAGTGGGGAGCCTGCTTCTCTCTCTTTCTCTGTTTGCCTTTCTGCCTACTTGTGATCTCTGTCAAATAAATAAATAAAATCTTTAAAAAAAAATAAAGGAATATGAATTTGAAAATTCACCCAGGATTCTTTGAAAAACTTCAACTTCATTATAATCAATGAATTACAAACTAAAGCAATGAGAAGCCATTTTCCCCTTATTATATTACCCCAAATTAAGAAATACATATCCAGTGTTTTCCTGTTGGTCCGAGTGATACCTGAGTATCTTTCGAGGGATTTTGATGGGTGTACGTTTTCTGCAGGATGGTCTGGCTTTATTAAAATCAATTCTAGGTTTGGAAATTTATCTTAAGGAAATAATTGTGCAGAGTTGCAATGGTGGTCTAAAGAATGTTAATAACATGAGGTATCACTGAGGAGAAGAAAGCTAAGTGACTCTTAGAAGGGGATTTATTAAATTACAATTATGTTTGTGCTTTGAAATCTTACATTGCCATTAAAATGATGGTGTAAAAAAAAATGATGGTATCAACCTTCATTTGTTGCTATGAAGAGAAGCCTACAATTTTTTTAAGTGAAGAGTAGGTAGGGGGAAGTATAGTTTCAACCTATTTTTATTTTTCAAATGAAAGTGTTTTCTAATATCCAGAAAAATTCTGGTGAGCTAAATTCCTCATCTAGCAATGATTATATTTGTGTGTTGTGTATATATATATAATCGTGGTAAACTTGATTTTTGTATTTATAGTTTTCTGTATTTTCTTTATTTTTCTTACAATGATTATATGTCTCTTTTTCAGTTAAGAAAATAAAAACTGTTTAAGAAAATACATTCATTCTTTATGAAGCAGTGAAACCATTCCTTGCACTGTATTCTAAGTGATCAAAAGCAGACTGGAAATTATTCTCAAGAGTGTACTCTTCCCCCAAGGTTCCCCATATCATTACATGGTACCAGTTTCCCATTGAGCTGCGCAGGCCAGAAGCTGGATATCATCCTTCAGTCCTCTCTTTCACGTACTCAGGATATACGTACTCTTGTCATCTCTGCCTTCAGAGCATCCCAAATGTGCCCCCCTCCACTGCCATACTAGTGCAGACCGCCATCACCTCCATCCAGTCTCCCGAGTGGCTGCTCTACATCTGCCCTTGTTTACCCCCGCTGCCAATGACAGCCCATTTGTCGCACCTCCACTGTGATCCTCTTTAAACAAAACTGTCCTGTCCCTCCTAGTCCACAGTGATCCTCTGAAGAAATTCCAAATGTCTTCCATTATCACCTGCGTGATACGGCTCCTGCGTACTTCTTTTCCTCACCTCTTAACACTGTCTTGTTCCCTCTTGCTCAGGCCACACTGGATGAATCTGGGTTCCTGGACAACTCAAAGCTGACTCTCACCTTACATTCTTTCTGACCGGAATCATCTTTATACCCACGTTTTTGCATGGCCATCTCTCGTTATTGAGATCCCATCTTTAATTCTACTTTCTTATCACCCAGTTTAAAATGTCAGCTCATTCACTCATACTGCACATCACCTTGTTTTTGTTTTCCTCGTTCTCATCACCCCCAGGACTCATCATCCCTAGTTTATTTCATTGCTTGGTCACTGTCAGTACCCTGCTGCTAGAATGCAAACCCTTGTGAAAACTGGATTCCTGCCTGATATGTTCCCCATACTTCTGTTCTTGACCTTTGCATGGTGGCTACTCAGTAAAGAATTGCTTGAACGAGTGAGGAAATGCCCATCACAACACCACATACGGCACTCAGAGGAGTTCCACAACAGCAGTTTTCACTTATAGCCCCTCTGCAGTTTCCTCGTGGATTTACCTTGAGTGCACCAGTGACTGACATGGGAAAGGGAGCTGAGGAGTAACACAACCCACTGAACTCAGAAGTGCTCTGTCCCCTGCTGACCCCAGCTTTGTTCCTAGAGCAGGCCTGGCTGCCCTTGTCAGAGGAGCTTTCCTTGGAGCTCACCCACATACGGCTTTCTGCAGACCTCTCCACCCAGGCATGTCTCCCATGCTGCTGCTTTCTCTTGCCCTTCTTTCTCCCCTTCCTTTCTTAAACATCCAGGACGTATTTGTTAGCATTCCTTGTATATTTTGGTATCACTTTTCTTTATTCTTAGTGCAAGGGAGACTTACCTGTTTTGTTTATTTTAGGATGGGAACGCTTATTTGAAACTACAGTTTCTGAAGAAGAAAATCAGGAAGTCATGAATAAACGCCTAGGGGACGGTCCTTTTGACTTCAAGTTGGGGAAAGCCTACATAAATGAGGACAAGCTAGAGAAGCAACAAGGCAAAAAGAACAAACCTTTCAGGAAAGTCTTAGTCACCATCAAAAACACCTACATGAGGGAGAGGAGCTTTACGAGTATTGAGCTTGGGAAGAATCTCAGTCTGAAATCACCCCTTATTAGAAAACCCAGACTTGTTTCCAGAGGAAGGAAACCCCACTCCCAGCAGTATTCAGTTCTGTTTAAACAATTGGGAGTCAACACGGTGCGCAGATGTTACAAATGTAACATCTGTGGGAAAATCTTCCTCCACAGTTCTTCCCTGAGTAAACACCAGAGAATCCACACTGGAGAGAAGCTCTATAAATGCAAGGAATGTCGTAAAGCTTTCAGCCAAAGCTCTTCTCTCACTCAGCACCTGAGAGTTCACACAGGAGAGAAACCTTACATCTGTGGCGAATGTGGGAAAGCCTTCAGTTTCACCACATCTCTCATTGGACATCAGAGGATGCATACTGGAGAGAGACCCTATAAATGTAACGAGTGTGGCAAAACATTTAAAGGAAGCTCATCCCTGAATAATCACCAACGAATTCATACTGGAGAAAAGCCCTATAAATGTAACGAGTGTGGGAGAGCCTTTAGCCAGTGCTCATCTCTTATTCAGCATCACAGGATTCATACTGGAGAGAAACCCTATGAATGTAGTCAGTGTGGGAAAGCCTTTACTTCAATATCGCGGCTAAGTAGACACCATAGAATTCATACTGGAGAGAAACCCTTTAATTGTAATGAGTGTGGGAAAGTATTCAGTTACCACTCAGCCCTTATCATACATCAGAGAATTCACACTGGGGAGAAACCTTATGCATGTAAAGAATGTGGGAAAGCCTTCAGCCAAAGCTCTGCTCTGATACAGCATCAAAGAATTCATACAGGAGAAAAACCCTATAAATGCAATGAATGTGGGAAGGCCTTCTCCTGGATTTCCCGGCTTAATATACACAACAGAATCCATACCGGAGAGAAACCGTATAACTGTAAAGAATGTGGAAAAGCCTTCAGTTCCCACTCAGCAGTTAATACTCATCGGAAAATTCACACTGGAGAGAAACCTTATAAATGTAACGACTGTGAAAAAGCTTTCAACCAAAGCTCAGCTCTCATTCAGCACCAGAGAATTCACACTGGAGAGAAACCCTTTAACTGTAAAGTATGTGGGAAAGCCTTCCGACAAAGTTCATCCCTTATGACCCATATGAGGATTCATACAGGAGAAAAGCCTTATAAATGTAAAGAATGTGGGAAGGCTTTTAGTCAGAGCTCATCCCTTACCAATCATCAGAGGACTCACAGTGGAGAAAAACTATGAATAAAACACATGTGGAAAGTCTTCCAACTGAAGTTCATTTCATACTCAATTTCAAAATCTCATCCTGGGCAGGAGATGAAGAGTAGTTAATTGTGAGTTAAACTTCAGAATGTAGACCTCCTCAGACATCAGAGACTTCATGATGCAGGTAACGTTAAGTGTATTAGGAAAGCTACTGTGAAATGTTTTCATAGTTTTTAAGTTATCATGGCTATAAGATAGAGAATGTGTAAGATTCTTTTATCTTGTCCCTGGTGACGTGTGATAAGAGCCCCCAGCTTTCGCAAGCATCACTGGGAAGCCTGTTGATTTATGTAAAAGCGCAGCCATAAAATCCAGACTTTAGATTAATCTAGGAATCTATTTTTTGAAATGACATTTGAGTGTTATGCAAGCCAGTTCTACTAAGAAGAATGTTTTGGAGAAGAAATACAAGCAGGTGACCGGTAGCTACCTCACTGTCGCTAAAATATGTTCTTTAATAGTTTAAAGGCAAAACGTGTACTTGGTGGTCGTGAAAACTTTTGGGGTTATTTCTTCTTTGCTTTCCAAGCCATTTACCTGAAAAGAAAATCACTCTGTAAACTCTGCAGGCACATGGTCCCGTGTTTTCTCCCTAACAACTTGTTCCCAGCTCTGAAGCAGATCTAAAGCCACTTTATTTTAAATCACAAAATGCATGGTATTTCACTTGGTTTTATCACAAAGTGATTACCTTTGCTGCGTGAGGTTGAGAATTAAAGGTTATTCAGACGACTATTGCTTTTGCGAGTTACTCCACTGATAAATGTGAGTGATGATCTTACAGTATAAGATGGGAGTGTGCCTCTTGGCACCCAGGCTGTGCCTCCTTCATTAAGCTCTCCGGTTACCATCCAGGAAGGCCCAGGAAGAATGTGGATCACCATTCATCCTAGCTGAGGTAAAGTGAACCAGGTAACTTTCGCTTCCTCCCACACTCTGAGGGCCACAAGATAGAAATTCAGACTCTTAAGTTCAGTAAATGGGCTGTTAGATGCTTCAACAAGTTAGCACATTTCTGCATTTCTAAAATGTGAATAATAATTCTGGCAAGGTAAAAACAGCTATCTCCCAAGTCAAACTAAAATTGCTGAACTTTACAGAAGCAACAACCTCTAGTGTTGTCCAGTATCAACTGGAGTGGGCAAGCACTTAAGGACTAAACTACCTATTTTATTAAAAAAAAAAAGGAGGGGGGACTAGTTTCTTTTTCTTTGTCAAAGAGTTTAAAAAAAAAAAAAAAACCTCAGAAAAGGTACTATTGGGGGTAGGGACTGAGCTGAAGCCAAAAATCATTGAATTCAATGTTTGCTTCCTGGGACCAACTAATCAGTTTTACTGTTCCAGACTCATGAGGAACAGACTTTTCTGAGTCATGTAATCTTCCACTGCAGTGCCTCTTTCCTCGCTCACAACCATTCTTTTAAATTAATTTCTGGAAAATTTCTAGGAAAACATAACTTCCCTGTCTTTGTCCATTTAGGTTGCCATGATAAAATACCACAGCCTGGGTGGGTTCTAAACTACTGAAATTTAATTTCTTACAGTTCTGGAGGCCAGGAAGTCCAAGATCATGGCACCTACATGGGTGTGTTTGTTCTTGTGAGGATCCTCTTCCTGGTTCCTAGCCAGCGCCTTCTTGGATCCTCACATGGTGGAAGGGGCGAGGGAGCTCTGAGGCCTCTTAGGAGGACACTAATCAAATTCATGAGGCTCCATCCTCATTATAGTCACCTCCCAAAGGCCCCACCTCCTAATACTATCACCTCTGGGGTTAGGGTTTCAACAAGAATTTTGAAGGGGCACATGTTTAGATCATCATACCTCCCAGTAACAGTATAGTCCTAAAAATAATCCCCCCAAATAAATCTGAATAAAGTTACACAAAGAAAATATCAGGCCCAGTTATTTTTACATTGAGGTCTCTCAAACTTGCAGGTGACAGGCTATTTGAGTCTGATGTGGGATCATCAAGAGGTGATCGTGTGCAAGCACAATGATTCCAATATAATCCGGTACCAAGATCTGACAAGGAAAGTACAAGAAAGAAAAAAAAAAACAAACACAGGCCCGTATCATCCAGGAACAAAAATGTAAAAATCCTACTAAACAAAGCAAATGTAATCCAGCAGTACCTCAGCATAGTTCATACATCATGATAAATGGAAATTTTTCATGGGAATGGGTGGGTTACTTAGCATTAGGAAACTTACAGTTGCTGTGTACTACTGGAGCAGGTTAAAGGTACAAAATCCATACCTTCATCTCAGGGCTGACAAAGCAACCAAAACCCTCAGCACCCATTCATTGTAAAAACTTAGTAAGCAGTGGAAAGTTTACTTAGCCTGGTAAAAGCGTATTTACCAAAAACCTGCAATAAAAAAATGTTAAACTATTAGAAGTAGTCATATGACAGGAGCAGTATAGAAAAATAACAAATTATTCAATAATGAATAATGGCTTTGAGAAAAATATTTCATCCACATAGAAGAAAAGTTGGATGCCTACCCTCACCACAAAAAGAATTCTGTGAAAGACAAAATTGTATACCTTTTGGAAGAAGATGTAAAGAATAACTTTATGACCTCACAATAAGGAAGGATTTTTTTAAAGCAGAACACAAATAAGCCATGAAATCTTTTTCTATATTTGCTCACATTAAAAAAAAAAAAAAACCTGGTTATCAAAATATACAAAAATGGAATTGAAAAGACATAAAATAGATCTCTCCACATTTTTTGACAAACACTTATTGTCTGGAAGGTTTAAATACTTTATACAAATCAACTTAAAAAAAGAAAAAGACAACCTTGTAGGGAAAAAAGTGTTCTGAATAGATGACTACTTCTTTCACAGAAGAGGAAATAGAGATTTCTAAAAACATGAAAAGTGCTTAAAAATGGAAATTAGGATCACAGAGAGGATTTTATGAGATTTTATGACTTTTTAAATAGATCTTATTTTATTTTTTAATTTTTGTTTTGTTTTTTAGTAGGCTCTGTATCCAATGTGGGGCTTGAACTCACGATTCCATGATCAAGAGTCACACACTTCATTGACTAAGCCAGCCAGGCACCCCAAATTTTATGATTTTTTTTAAAGATGAGTAAAAATGAAGATGTGTGACATTACTGAATTTTGGAACGTATGTGGAATAACTGGAATCCATTCTCCACTAGTGGGAGTGTAAATTGATATAGACCATTGGCATCAACATTGTAAAGTTGAACTTGTGCATGTCATCAAACACAGAAGTCCCACTCCTATGTACATATGATAAATAAATGTGTGTATATGAGTGGTAAGAGACATGTATAAAGATATTCTTAGCACTGATCGTAGACACTGATGTTTGAAAGTAGTCTGAATGTCTGTTAATAGGAAAATGAATAATTTTGAAATATTAAAAATGTAGAGCAGCAGTGAGAATAAGTGAACCAAAGCTATAAGCAAACTGATGAATTTAAAGGCCTGTTGACTTTTCAAAAGTCATAGGAAACAACATATGGTATAATAACATGTTCTGCAATATTAAATTAATTTTAAGTGATTTATACATATAGTAAAGATACTAAAAATAGCAAGTGACTGAAAGATAAGATAGTCTAGCTATCTGTGGCAAATTTAATGGCTTAAAGCAACAATTTATTAGTACTGTTGGTTCCATATCTGGGTTCAGTTGGGCAGTTCCTACTTGGCGTCTCTAATGCATTTGCAGTCAGAAAGCAGCTGCCGCTCACCTGGGCTTGGTGTCCAGGGTGGCTGACACGCAATGCTGTCTGCTGCTGAGACCCTGTTGGGCTTTGCACAGAAGGGTGCCTGCTCCTGAGAGGCAGTGTCCCCAGAGCCAGCACCCTAAAGGATCTACATTGAAAGTGCCGATCTTAGAACTCAGCTTTGGAAGTCATAGGACATCAATTCTGTATTCTCTTGGTGAAAAATGGTTTATAGATGTGGTCCAGATTCAAGGGGAGAAGGTGATACAAGGATATAAATACCAGGGTTATGGTTCATCGGGACGATATTTGGAGACTAGCTACCATACAAACACACAATTCAGGATGGTGATTACCTCTGGCTGTGAGGCAAGGAAGTGACTTGGGGAGGAGCCTGGGGTTCCTCAGCTCGCCTGATGCCTGAGAGGGCCTGCCTTCCCAGGAAGAGGTTACCCAGGCCAGCCAGAATGAGGATCAGGAGGAAGGCCAGTGTGTATATCAGTAAAAATGATTAAATAGAGTTTTTTGCCCCAACTCTATACTGGGTCATTTAAAGTAGGATAAAACAGATCTTACTGCCTGATCACCCTAGGTGAAGTGCACATCAAGTTTAAGAGGTTGTATTCAAGGGCCATTTCAAGGTCATAACTTTAAAAAAAAATCTATTTATTTTAGAAGAGAGTAAAGAGAGCAGAGGGAGGGGCAGAGTGAGAGGGAGAAGCTTAAGCAGACTCCATGCTCAGCAAGGAGCCTGACTCGAAGCTCAATCCCCCGAGATCATGACCTGAGCTGAAACCCAGAGTCAGGTGCTCAACCAACTGTGCGCCCAAGGTCATAACATTCTTCCGGCCACTGTTGAATTTAAACATGCCTCCTCAACAAAACTATGAACACCTCCCTTTCCTGTCTATACTTTCCCTTCTCATTCATCTCCCTAGATCACCAGATGAAGAGAGATGGTTCCTATCCCAAGTCAGGAAACACATACTAAAGTAAAAAAATGTGCATAAGAGGACTAGGCAGAAGAGAACACTATCCATTTTTATACCTTTCTAATGGGCCATTTTCAAAGCAACCTGAAAAAGGACTATGTTCTTTTATAATAGAATTGACATGGCTGATACATTGAATTTATAGTGTTCATAGTAATTAAATTATTTAAAATGTCTACCTTCCAGGTGGGTAGGGCCCTTCTCTTACCAAACCCATTTTCTCATGAGGAGCTCTATGAAATGAATAAGCCCATTTCTTTCCCCCTAGACTGTCCCCTCCATTGGCTTTGTCCAGTGT